ACTAACGGCTTCCCCAATCTCTGGGAAGGATTGCAGACACCCTAGATGCTACTAAATTAAAGTGGGGGAAACTGGCAATTAAAAAAATAATAATAATAATTTTTAGGTTCTAAAAGATATAATGGTTACCAGAGGAGATGGTAGGGGTTAGGAGAGGAGAGAATATGGGAGGCGAAGTAACTGGTTACGGCACCAGAGCTTTCTCGGAGGGTGAGGGAAGCAGGTGCGCATATAAAGGTGTGAAGCTGTAATCTCAAAATTATAGAGCTGTGTAACTGATTGTCAAATCAATAAAATTGGAAAATAGAGGGAGAAAAAGAAAAAACTGACCCGCAGACTGCAGTTTTTAAAATATGCACAGTCCTTTCACAGAAAGACTGGGAGAGGTGTTTCTGTTTGTTCTCTCTGCATAGAGCCCTAGGGTGACAGCTGCAGCAAATGCTCACATGCATAGTAACTAGTTTTGTCTGGAAAAACACAAATGCCCAAAAATAGGTGGCTGGATCAAGAAGATGTGGTATGTATACCCTATGGAATACTAGTCAGCAATCAAAAAAAATAAACTCATGCCATTCTCAGCAACATGGATGGAGCTGAAGTAATTATGCTCAGTGGAATAAGTCAAAAGGAAAAAGAAAAGTATCAGATGCTTTCACTTATAGGAGGAATCTAGGGGAACCAAATAAGGCATCGGGGGAAAAAAATAATAACAATACAAAACAAAACAAAACCAGAGACAACTATAAACCAGAGCTATAACGCAGGGGAGGGAGAGGGGGGAAAAATAATAACAATACAAAACACAACAAAACCAGAGACAACTATAAACCAGAGCTATAACGCAGGGGAGGGAGAGGGACCAGGAAGAGGGAGGAAAGAGCACAGGGACTATGGTGATGGTGCACAGTGAGTTGGTAATGGGGATTACACCTGAGAGGAGAAAGCAAACATTGTTTTAAAATGATCAGTGATGTAAAATATATATAAATAAGTAAAAACATAGAAGCAAACTCTATCAGTTAAAAAAAAATGGGTTTGTTGTAGTTGTTATTGTTTGCTGTAATCTTTTGGGCCTCATGGATGCTGGATGTTGGGTTTCAGAAGCAGTCGATTGGGGACTGTCACTGAAATGGAAGTTGAGATTAGATGTGGGATCCAAACACTTTGCTTGTTAAGAAGTGGAGGGTTGGGGAAAACATCCCCTACTGATGGGAGTAGGGTTTATGGTGAGATATACCCCAGCCATTCCTACCTGTTTCCATTTTGATATTTTCTGATTTGCCTGATATATATAGTAGTCCCTCTGCTAGTTTATGGATTTCTTTCAGGGGGAATTAATTCATGTGTAGCTAGCTATTTATTCAATTTGTCCATGCAGAAGGAGAGTTCAGGAGACTCCTATGCCATAATCTTTAAAGAATGCCCTACTCAATTTTAGAAGAAGCAAATTTTAGTGAATTTGCTGTTTCTAAACTTTAAGGCATTTTACCTATGAACTAGTGCTGTAGTAACATTCAGTGCTGGATAATGAAGTGATCCCTTCATTGACTTCTGAGTATTTTAAATACTCAAACCACCAAAATGGCAGTTATCAAACCACCAAAATGGCAAGAAAACAAAGTTCATACTACTTTTAAAAAAAGATTTCTTTATTTATGCATACAATACCTGGCATACAGGCCAGAAGTTGGGGGTGAAAGAATTCAATAGAAACAGAGCAGGGAGCAGAACAGGCAGATCTACTGACAATGCTGAGGGATGCAGCGGTCAGGTCAGGAGAGGTCTTCTATGCTATGTGGGTCACCTCCCAGTCTGGGAATAGAACTTATGCTGCAGTACCTGTGGATAGCTTCATAGTGCTGCACTTTAACCCTTGCACCACCTGGGAGGGCCCACATGCTACTTTTTTTTTTTAATATTTATTTATTCATACAGAACTGGGGTACAGGCCAGAGATGCGGAGGGTGAGAGGATTCACCAGAGACAGACTGGGAGCAGAACAGGCAGATCAACTAAGTACACTGCTGAGGGGAGCAGCGGGCGGATCAGGAGAGGTCTGCCGCACCATGTGGTCACCTCCGGGGCAGGTAGGGATCGAACTCATGCAGAAGTGGCTTAAGCTTCTTAGTGCGGTGTTTTAACCCGCTGCGCCACCGGGAAGAGCCCCTCATGCTACTTTTAAGTGGTTTTTAATCTAAGTTCATTCTGTAAATATTTGATTGCCTACCATGTTTCAGGCACTGTTTTAGATATTTGGTCCTAAGTATCCAGCCTTGTGAAATCCAAACTCTATAAAGTCATGGACTACAAATATAACATCGAAATAAATATAAAGTAAAGTTTATTCAAAACTTCTAAAATAATAGCCTAGGAAATATTCCAGGTGGGACTTCATCTATGAATTCACTTTACTGATCTCTGACTTCCTTTTCTGACATCTGATCTGACTTGCAATAAGAGCATTAAATCACATCTGTGGTTACCTTTGCATATTTTGTGACTTCAAACATTTAAATTATGATTCATGTGTGCTTAATTTTTCTAATTGTCTCAAGTCAGCAGTGTTCCTTTTCCCGATCCTAGATTTTCTATAATGAATCAAATTCAGAGCAGAATTTTTGTGCTGCAGTCCAGCAGATCTATAGCTGTTTTGATAAATTAATACAATATGAGCTTTTTGTGCCTCAGTTTTTCACCTATAAAGTGGAGCCTGCAGAATACCACCTCTATGGTTATCATAAGATTAGATAATATAGCATTATAAAACCACTTAGAACTGTAAAAGTACCAGCTTGTATTAGTATCCATATGCATATTAGTAATGTACTTATTGCTACTAGTCCATTATTTAAACATAGTAAATGGGGTGTTGTACCTTCTTCCTCTCTTGATCTACTTAGATAGAAGCAGAATTACAATGAGAACAAAAGGTAAAGATATATCCAGTAGGGCCATTTAAGGAATATTTGTGAACTGACTCAGTAGTAAATCCCTCTAAGTGATGTAATCCAAGAGATGTGTTAATTTTTTTTTTAAGATTTATTTATTTGTACATACAGAACTGGGGTACAGACCAGAGGCTCAGGGGCGGTGAGAGGCTTCACCAGAGACAGAGCGGGGAGCAGAACAGGCAGATCGACGAAGTACACTGCTGAGGGGAGCAGCGGGCCGGTCAGGAGAGGTCTGCCACGCCATGTGGTCACCTCCGGGGCAGGCAGGAATCGAACTCATGCGGAAGTGGCTTTAGCTTCTCAGTGCAGTGCTTTAACCTGCTGCGCTACCAGGGAGGGCCGAGATGTGTTAAATTTTTAAAAATTAAGTCTTTCTTTAAGCTTCTTCCTTTTTCTAAGCTAATTTCAAAAAAAAAAACCACATAGTCTTTGTTATATAATTCCAAAATTACGGAAATTAATGACTTAGAAATGTAACAATATCTACATACTCACCCTAATTATCACCCACAGAGATAATTAATAGTAATAATCTATATATAGTCTCATGTTTCATAGTTAATACATATTTTCATTAAAATAAGATCATATTATACATATTGCTTTGCAAGTGATTTTATTTACTTAAATAATGACTTTACTTCTTTCAACATAGTTACTTCCTTCTCATTTCTGACATACATTGTGACTCTCTGTGGTCCCTACCACAAAGTCACATAGCATTCAGATTCGATTAGCAAAAGCCCTTTGCAGCCTATTACCGACTCTCCCTTTCCAAATCCTGACCCAAAGGAGCACCAAGAAATGACTCAGAAGATCCTCTCAGTCCACACCAGGGCACCCAGCTCTCTCAGTGCAGAGGAAAAAGACTGGGCTGAATGAACACACAGTCACACTGCAGTTAATGCAGAGGATTAACGGAAACATTACAAATGAACCCTTGAAGTGGAACTCTTCCTCAGGCTTTGAAGGCCATCATGCAAAGCCCACTTAAAGCCACAAGGAAATTTTATTACAGGATGTTAAGGTCAGGCAACTCATTTTAAAATCGCCATAGGTGGCCATTCACCCTCAGTTCACTCTTCCCACTTCAAAGTCTACTTTCCAGCTCTCATATATTTATCCTTAAAACAATTACTTCCTCTTTTGTCTTGTCTGTGTATTTTTTTATTTTATATATATTTTTTTACATTATTTTTCTTTGATCCTATTACCCTCATAGAATGTCTCTAGTTTCTAGTTTGCTGATTTTTGTTTTTACTTTATTACAATTGCTTTTTTTTTTCTGATCCCTTACAATCTTTTGCTTTTATTAGCTATTCTTTTTTCTCTTTTAGCTTAAGTGTACATCACTGCATATTCTTTTGTAGTAAATGTAGTATTATTTAGCTAGTGTACAATACTTACACATCACTCACTGACCAGGTATAGGAGTGGTGTACGTGGATAACTCAGTGTACTCAGCCTCATTGACACCTTTATTAAACATTATGTGAGGTTGCAGACTCCTCAACTTAAGGAATTTTTAGCAAAGAGGAGTGACAACTTTGACAAGAAAACAAGAAACACTCTACCAAGTGGCATTTTCAGAGATAGATAGCTTGTGATGCTCATGCCATCAACCTGGAAGTCTGGTTTTGGGGTCCTGGTAGAAGCTCCTTTGGGGGGGGGGAGGAAGTAGAAGAAAGAACAGCAATGTCAGCAACACTCTACACATGTGGAAGGCTGCAGTAGACCCAAGGCTCCCCTAATCGTGAACTTTCTGTAGCCCATTTTCTACTTTTTGGTTAGATAGTGTTTCAAAAGTGTATGCATAAAGCCTAGAATTATCAAGGCATCAAACAAAACGAAGGCAATAGGTGAGTCCTCTTCTCAGCCTCTCGCTCTTCAAGCATCATACAGCCCAAGGAGCAATACGTGCACCAGATTGGGGATCAAGATATGGAACCTTGTTCCCCTAAGGGAGACAGTGAACATTTACTGATGCATTGTTTTGAATAAAAATTTCTAGTCATGCTACTGATGACTGTTTTAACCTGTTTCTTTCAGATACCATTGTTCTTATCGCTTCAATAGCAGTTGTTTCTGCAAAAACTCAGGGTAATATTTTTGCAACGTCCGCACTCAGAAGTCTCCGTTTCCTACAGATCCTCCGTATGGTGCGCATGGACCGAAGGGGCGGCACTTGGAAATTACTAGGTTCTGTGGTTTATGCTCACAGCAAGGTAAGCTTTGCTTTTCAAGTTAGAGAACAAGGTTTTTGTCTTTATTTTAGGTTTTTTACTTTTTTTGTTGGTGGCTATACTAGTATAAACCTCTCACAAGAAAACTCAATTTCAGGAATTAGGTAAAACAATTTTGAGATAGAATGTAAAATGAAGTATTTAGAAGTTATAAATATCCAAGAAGTTGTAAAATGAATGGAATCATGCAGAGATATTTCTCTATTTTCATACATTTTTTTCACCTCTAAAAATCTTTCATTCTTTTTATATCTAGGAACTGATCACAGCTTGGTACATAGGATTTTTGGTTCTTATTTTTTCATCTTTCCTTGTCTACCTGGTGGAAAAGGATGCCAATAAAGAGTTTTCTACATATGCAGATGCTCTTTGGTGGGGAACAGTAAGTATAAAAGTCAGTTTTTATTTTTTGGATGTTGTGAAATTTTTCATTTGATATAAAGTAATTCCTATGAATGAGCTTAGTAACCATATTAGCTTTCAAAATAATGTTGCATGAAAACATACAGCATGATTATTAAATCATCTATCCTTTTGGCTTAACAAAGTTAATTTCTCTTATAAATCATCAGTAGTATTTCCTGAGTGTGAGACTGTTGCTAAAATTAAAATATGTCATTTTTCTAAACATTCTACAATGTTGATAGTCTTATTTGTTTCACCTGGTGAACACAGATTTAAATTTCCTATTGTTGTATTTAGTTAGCCGCACATCAAAATTTCTCTGAGATTTTTTTTAAAAACAATTGTAGCTGAATATGTTAGAAGAGTAAAATTATGACACAAAAAGTATAAAAGAGAAGATCGGTAAGATCAGCAATTATAGAAACCTAATTTCAAAACTTAACACTCCAAAACCACATTTCCTTTATATATTTGTTAAAGGATAGTTTTCTAAATAAATAAAAATAAAATCATAACTCTGAAACAGATAGAAAATAAATAAGCTAAAGATTTCATGTAGATCAGTAGACTTGAGGGAACCAGTGAGGCATTAGAACCAGTTCAAAGGACTATCCAAAGAGGAAAGACGTGAAAACCAGGAATACTAAAATGAATATGCAAATAGAAGCAAAATTGGCTTATTCCACTGTCTGTAAGGGAAGTCAAACCTCCACTAGGCAGAATTTATTTATATTTCTAAATAAGAATTCTTTTGCATTAATAACAGTTACCCACAGCTTAAAGAGTTGTAAAATGACTCAAAGATCATGAAAGATGCAGGGCATCTTAAAACCAGAATCCAATAACTTGAAAGAGTGTACTTTAACCAACGTACAGTTTTCCACTGGAAAAAGAAAAATCTCAACATTATAAATTATTTATGAAACAGTCATTAGAACATGTACCTTAATAAGAATTCACAAAATAGGGGAATGTCATGGAATAGTGCATTATACAATGTATGTTTCTATATTATTCCTTCAGGTGTTTCAAAAAATACTATGAAAATACATAAGATTTATAAATGCCTAAGCAGTTTCCCCATCTCTTTGATCTAAGAAAGTTATACTAACTTATAAATTAGCACCAGTATTTCTTAAATGTTAGGTTCTTGTCAAAATAAAAATAAGTCACTTTCATAAACTGTTTAAAACATTGACAAGATTTAAATGGAAATTGTTACCTTGGCCATTGTTCATCTGAAACTCAACAACAAGAATTAGAACTCTTGTTAGGCCAAGGAAAATTTGTTAGGGCTTATATGATGCAGAAATTGGTGGCTTTGCTGGTTATATTGCAGCAATAAAATGTGTAAAAACAGAAATATATTCACCTGAAGATTAGGACCTTTTTTCTTAAATTGTTACAGGTCTACAAGATTGTGCCACTGGTAACAAAACATTCCATTGGTTTAATAATTTGGTTTCCAACTCCTACCCCGCCTCCCCCCAACACACACACAATACTCCCCACAAGCAATAATGGATATTTTGAAAGGAAGAAAGTAGAAAACCCAAAAGAAAGCAGTCATCTGACATTCTTAAAATACTTTTTATATGTAGAGAGCAAATGAAAAAATCTCTGACTCATGGTGAGACAAACTGTGTAAACTGAGAACACGAGCCTTTTGGAGCCTGCAAAGGGAAGACAACTTATTATTCCAGACTTGAAAGCAGTGATTTGAATTAAGGTTTAGTTTTTGCTTCTCTTGAATGACTCTAACATTTAAATTACTGAGGCACTGGGTGCATCTTTTCCCGTTGAGGTGTGGGTGAGTTCAGCCTGGCAGCTGTCTGTCCTTCCATCAGTCTTCCTTTTCTCCTGTCTGCTAATATGAACTGCTGCGTTGTGTGCTAAACAGTGTGTGGGAAACTCTATATACCCCTCACTTAGTCATCAGCTTGTTTCTTTTGCTAGATAACCCACATAGCTGGTTTTCAAAGGTTATTATCTGTGACTTTCAGGGGGAAGCAACAGATTTTCATTGATCCCCATGTCATAGTGCTATTTTGACTGAGGTTTAACCCATACTTAGCAGTTTCCTTGAATGAATGATCTAATTGTGTCTCTGGTTTTTATATCTAATCTTGAATATGAATGTAAAAATCAGATTCCAAGATGTCAAGTTTCTAGAGGGGGGAAAAAAGACCTTGTTGGTCTATAGCATGTTTGCTGACATGAACTGACACATTAACAAAATTGTCTGAAACCTAAAAAAATAGAAAAAGCAAACAAGAAGGCTTATTATTTCTATTCATTTCTGTGCTATTATCTTCATAAAATATACTAGGTCTCCAGTGTGAAATATTATAAATTGAGAAAACATTACCATTGATTATATATTAATCAAGAGCTTCATGAAATACATGACTGGATATTTTTTAGTTAAAATTCTCCTCAATGGATGTCTGGAAACTATGGAAGTATTGAAAATAAGTGGGGGAGTAAAAACATCCTGAATTAAGTGTTCTTAAGTGCTGGCTTTAATGAATAAAAAGAATCCACTGTTTTATAAAACCCAAAGTCTCAACATTAACTATTAAGTGCAACTTATAGTGCATGGCTACAGTATCCCATTGAACTCTAACTACTAACTACTAAACTCCTTCCATTAAAAAGAAGCTATTGGCCCTCCCTGGTGGCGCAGGGGGTTAAAGCACTGCACTAAGAAACTATGCCACTTCCGCATGAGTTCGATTCCCGCCTGTCCCGGAGGCGACCACATGGCGTGGCAGACCTCTCCTGACCCGCCTGCTGCTCCTCTCAGCAGTGTACTTTGTAGATCTGCCTGTTCTGCTTCCAGCTCTGTCTGGTGAATCCTCTCACCCTCCGCATCTCTGGCCTGTACCCCAGTTCTGTACGAATAAATAAATAAATCTTTAAAAAAAAAAGAAGCTATTGGCTGCCTTCCAGCTTTTGGAGGGATCCGTGGTGTGATCAGCAGTGCTCAAACCCATAACAATTCAGAGAAACCTGACCTTTTAAAACAATCCCATACCAGCGAATACCAACCCCTTGCTCCCTGAGTGAACTGGGTAACTGATATTAAGGTCCTGGGACTGTGACCGCAGCAGGCGTGTAGTCCGAGTGGCAGCGACTGTTGGTGGAGAACTAGGCAGAGGCATCTTTCCAACAACAGCAACAACCAGGAGCTGTATCCTCCACCGGGGACCCACAGCTTAGGCACAGAGGGGTGTGAAAATCAGGGGTTATGAGCGTGACAACTGAAGGGGCACCATGACTAAAGAGGAGGTGGAGGAGGGGCAGAGGGAGGCAATGTGCCTTGCTGGGCCATTCGTTGGCGGCTACGGGGAAAGAGCATCTGATGTTGAGCAGAGTCCCGTTTAAACGCTATTTCCTATTTTATTTTCTTTTGTTTTAAACTTATTCTGGAATAATTTTTTTAAGAAGAGATGAAAGGTTTTCTTGGAGATTTTTTATTATTATCTCTATTTTCTGGTTGGTTGGTTGGTTGGTTTTCCTTTTGATTTGCTTTAGATTTATTCTGACACAAAGAACTTAAGATCTGGTTTTCCTGAGTAAATTTTCTGGTAATGACCTGTTCTTGAAGGTCAGCTTGTCCTCCTTCGATTTACTGTTATTCTTTTGATGAAGATAGTATTATGGGTTTAAAAAGAAAAAAACGCACACCGCATCCAGCAACAGATGGTGTATGTCTACTCTTGAGTAAGCATCTGAATACAGCCTCCACCTGAGACCATGAGCTTGAATTGATTACTTCTGACGTGTAGGAGAACTTGAGATCAGCAAGAGTTGGTCCTAAATTCATCCCAAATATCTGACAATCTTTCTCTAAGTTAAATATGCAGAAGGCTCTATTTATACTGTAGTCTACTGTGTGTTCAGCAGCTTGTACTGCCAAAACTGTGCATGAGGTTCATCCCCTCACAAAACCTAAGAATAAGAATTGTGTAGTGAAATGAACAAAAATATTATTGTCCTTGTTATCCTTCAGAGAATCAACCTTCAATACTATGGGTTCACCAGCACAAAATGTTTTCTGCACTCTTCCAAGATCTTGTTTTCTAGTTCAGTCCTTGCACATTAAAAGGTTAGTGAATATTTCTTACTACCACTGTATGAAACCTGACATCAAAGCTTTACTTGGCCATGAGGTATTCAACATATCATTTCCCAGCGGTCAAGAACATTATTGATTATCATGTAGAAACTGAGACACACATATCCCAGACACCATCCACCAAAAACAAATCCTAGCTGTCATGAACATCTGTATACACTTCCTATATCACTGTATTTATGAAGCAATTGGTCATAAGCCCCTTTCAGGGATTCTTTCCCAAGGAGAAGTGTCTTTAATAATGTCATTTGTCTCTGAAATTTTTACTCAGTATTCCATAGGCACTTAGCACAGGTTATATGGAAAACAATAGAAGAATTGTAGTCAGAAGCCCTGGGATCCAATTTCATCATCATGAATTGGTGGAGGTGTGATATTAAGTAATCATGTAGTATCTCTGTACAACTGATTAAATGATATTACCCAAACACAAAATTGCTGCTTGTGTTAAATGAGATTAGGAGAAGCAGACATGCTTTATCAAGCACGTGACAAATGGTAGTGGCCATTATTATCACGTCTGGCCAGGAGCTAGATGAGCAGCATGGAGTGCTAATTCCCTGAGCTAGCCACCACAGAGCAACCCAAATCTCATGACACCTCCACCACAGGAGATTCTGCTGTTTGAAGATCAAAAAAATGTTCTGATCTCCTAATTCAAGCTGACCAACTTTAAAATTAACTACACAGGTTTTATGACAACCCACTGCTTGAAACTAGGTGCTCAGGAAGTGTCCTCAAGAAAAAGAGAGAGAAAGGAAGAGAATATGAAACAGAGAAAAAAGAGTTAGGGAGAAGGGGTGGGACATGCTAGCAAACTGCCAACTTGAATCCTC